TAACCCCTCTGTATGGTATTTTCACAATTAAAAAAAAGTAACAGTTTTAGAGGATTTGAGGAATTAAACTGATGTTTAAAAAAGCAACAAAAACATGGGAAATAAAGGGATTCATAAGGCAATTCTTTTTTTTTTTTTGTCAGTCGTGGGGCTTGAACTCTGGGCCTGGGTGCTGTCCTTCAGCCCTTTAGCTCAAGGCTAGCGCTCTACCACTTTGAGCCACAGTGTCACTTCCGGCTTTTTCTGCTTATGTGGTGCTGAGGAATTGAACCCAGGGCCTCATGCATGCAAGGCAAGCACCCTACCACTGAGCCATCTTCCCAGCCCAAGGCAATTCATTTTTGAGGCCCAATAAGCATTTTTGCCAGAGGAAATACATGTGAATGGCAGGATCTGGTTCTAGGTATCACCTACTTTCTGACCCAGCATCAATGACTAGTTTCCCCGTGTGTCTCCGAGGCAGGCCAGGGCCTTACCACACTTACCTTAAGTGTCTAAATACCAGCTCTGTTAACTACAACACACCTGTATGAATACATTCTAAAATTCTCCTGAATGTACATGCACGCATGCTCAGGTAACACATATTTATAGGTAACCCATCTGCTTGCCAGGTCTCTTACTATTCAGGAGATCCATTTCCTACTCCATGCCTATAGAAGCAAAGTTTGCTCTATGATTTCCAAAGTACAAGAGGGAGGTGGAGAGGAGAAAGGAAGAGATAAACAGGAAGCCGGAAGGAGAGAAGGATGAGGAAAGAGAGGAGAAAAGGAAGAAGAGGGGAGGAGAATGGGTTTGCTGTCATTACTTTGCCATCTATCCTACTAGGCTGCTTAATTAGGAAGCTCTGGTCTTTTCTGCCTCTTTCCCCATACTATGAAACATGGACCTGTGTGCTTTCCACGGTTTATTTTCAGAAATTCTACCCATATAAGGACTTGAAGCAAACAGCCATCTTCTCTGAACTTTTGGAGAAGACAACGGAAAGAGATTCTACCACATCAAAGCAACGAATTCATGTTGCCAACATGAAAGATGAAAGCTCCCAGTTCTGAAAAGGGTTTTGTTCATCCTCACCAGGAAGCTTCCATTACTTTATTCCAGGGAGTATCTCGCTCCAGATCATTCGAAGGATTTCTGGATCTCTTTCCTCCTCCAAACAAGCAAACACAGCAAACATGTTTTATGCTGTCTTTGCCATATTCTGTTGCACTAACACAACGTGTGAGACTGGGTGATTGATAAGGAAAAGGGGTTCATTTTAACTCACAGTTCTGGAGACTTCTAAACCAGAGATCAGGACCTGAATGCTTTTACTTCTGAGGAGCATCTTGGGGGACTTTGACTTATGGTAAAAAGTAGACAGCATGTGCACCCGAGAAACAGGGCCCAACTTCTACAGTGGCTAAGCAATTCCTGCAAGAAAGTCATTAATCCATTTATAAAGGCCCTTCCCCTATGAACCAAACACCTCTGGCTGAGCTTTATCTGCTAACACAGTTAGCAGTTACTGAATGCACAAAACACACTGGTGTTTTGCCAAAAAAAAAAAAACCAAAGAAACAAAAATACAGAAAAAAAACCTCACTCTTTTTTTCTTATCATTCCAAGGGCTTGGGTGCTGTCCCTGAGCTCCTTTTGCTCACGGTTAGTGCTCTTCTTGAGCCATAGCACCACTTCTGGCTCTTTCTGTGAGTAACTGGAGATAAGAGTCTCACGGACTTACCTACCTGGGGTGGCTTTGAACCCAAATCTTCAGATTTCAGCTTCCTGAGTAGCTAAGATTACAGGTGTGAGCCATCAGCGCATAGCTTTGCTCTGGTTATTTTTGAGAAAGGGTCTTGTTTTTGTGTCCAAGCCAAGAGGTCTAGACAGCCATCCCTCATTTCACACTTTTCACAGTAGTTGTGATGACAAGTGTGCAACACTATTTTCTGTTGAGATGGAATTTTGAATTTTTCCTCCCTCAGAATGGTCTGGAACTATGATCCTCCCAAACTTAGCTTCCTGAGTAGTGTAGCTACTAGTTGGGATGGGGAGTCCCATGAACTTTCTGGCCTGGCTGGCCTTGACCTGTGAACCTTCTGATAGGTACTTTCTACCTCCCAACTAGCTGGGATCACAGGCATGAACCACCAAGACCCAGCGTTTATTAATTAATTAATGTATTTATGTATTTTGAGATAGAGTTTTATTACTTTTGAATGAGATAGCTTCAAACTCATGATCTTCCTGCCTCTGCCTCCCAAGTAGCTGAGATTATAGACACGGGTTGTCATTCCTTCATTCTCATTGGATGTAATTTTATTGTTTCATGTATCCTCCACTGGTGATACACATCTAGGCAGGCCAACATGCTCACTGTATTTAAAAGTAATATTTAATATTATGTCAAAGAAGTTTTTCTCCTCTCCTGATCCCTACACAGAGCAAAGCAAGCCCTTCTACCACTGCCTAGTTTCAGGGCCAGTTTAGCCATATGGCCCAGAAAAGCCAAAGGGCAGTCATGCCATTTGCTGAGACTTCTTTAGCATCCTCTTGGCTGTTCTAGGCACTGCTTAGATGGTATATCTCTCTGATCCTCTCCTTGACACTGAGGAAGAAAGGAGCTTTGCTGCAGGAGAGGTTTGCAAGTGCTGGGGTAGAGAGGTGGAGGAAGAGAGAACATTGTTTTACAGGGGGATTTGTCTGCTTTGGGTGGATGGCCACAGGCCACCAGAATGGCACAGCCCTCATGTTAACCTGCCTTGAGTCAGAAAGGAAATTTTGAATGCAGCTTTTCTGGACCTTCTAATAGATTTCTTCTCCAGAAAGAATTTTGAAACTGACTTTTGGCACTGCTCTCAGAGAAAATACTAGCTATGTATAAAGACTTATGATTCTTCCCTTTGTACCTTTTAAACCTACACTAACTAGCTGTGTGATCTTGGGGGTAGTTATTAATTCTCTTTGAGACTCAGTTTCCTGTCCTATGTGATGGAATAATATAATTAAACCTTCCCAAGGAGCACATTTGAAGAGGATCACATCCAATTATGCTCCCAGGTGCTCATCACAGGGCCGGTTCCATTAAAATCTCAGAAATGGCAGTTGCAAACAACAGTAAGGGACATAATTGCCTGAGTTCCCAAGGGGTCAGTATAAGGACAAAAACATAGCTTGTTGGCATATGATGGTCAGATATCAAAAGAGCTCCTTGGCAAGTTCTATTTTTCTGATGTAAGCATTGGGAATAACTAATGCCACCTGTCTCCCCTTCCCCCAGTTTCCCTTTCTCCCATGCTTCCTGGCTGTTTACATGGCTGGAGACTGGATGTAATCTGCTGCCCCAGTCTTGGGGAGCATGGGGCTTCAGAGATTCAGAGTAGCAGGAAAACCAGACAAAATATTCCCCGAGTTCTGTATGAAGAAAATTAGAGGTGATTGGGAGAGAGGAGCAGCCTTAGCTTCTTGAAAAACCGGAGTACAAATCTTACTAGGTGATTAGGGTGTAAAGAAAGTTTTCTATGAGACCAAAGAGGCTATTCTTGGGCAGGATCACAAAGACTCAATAGCCCTTATTCAAATTCTTACCAAAATGAACTCCAAGAAATGGAAACAAGAAAATGAGAAAAGAGTTGACATTGTCAAAAAGCAATCTACTCATGACTTGACTTATACAATTGTAATCCCTTTGTACATTACCTTTACAATTAAAATAATAAAGTTGGGCTGGGATGTAGCTCAGTGGCAAAGCGCTTGCCTAGCAAGCGCAACGTCCTGGGTTCGATCCCCAGTACCAAAAAAAGAAAAAGATAAAATAATAAAGTATTCATAGTGCAAAACTAGAAACAGAAAAAAGAAATGGAAACAATAGGTATTATTTGTTTTGGTTTTCGTTTTCTTTTCATTTTGTCTTGTTTGTTCATTTATCATTTTTGGGATTATAAGGGGGAGCACAGAAATGGAGGGGGTGAACAAAGGCAGCAATGGTACTCACTAGACACTATGTTGAAAACGAACTATACAATTTATGGGTAGGGACAGGAGGGAAAAACTGGGAGACTGTGAGGGAAGGGGTGACACTTTTAAAAAGAAATGTACTCTTTATCTAACTTAGGTAACCATAACCCTTGTGTACATCACTTTTACATTAACAATTGAACAAAAAAGAATAAATTATATAGTAGGTTAAAAAAAAAAGAAGATTCTCTCTCAGGAGCCTTTCCCCATAAAACAGATGCCTTCAGCAGCTCTGAGAAGCTCCCAAGAAGAACAAGATAACTACCCTTCAGTCATGTCAGGGAAAAGTTTCTTACTCTTGGCTTAGACTAAGTTTAGTACACCAAGTACTAAAGTTAGTACAAGGTTAGTAGTACACAAGGTTTTGAATCCTGCCAGGGCAGAGCAGCCTCCAGATAACAAGGAAGAGCTTAGAATAACTATCTCAGTTGACACATTTCTTTGGCTATTCTGATGAAGAGCTAAAATCTGGCTTCATAAACCACAAATCTTGGAGCACGGATCAGAAGCAATGGACATTCCAAGTCCTAGTCTCACACCCACCTGCTTGCCCCAGCCCACACCACATCTAGTTCCTAAGAGGTGTGTTTTTCCTTGTTATCACTGACCTTGTGGACCACATGTGCCCTCCTTGGATTTTAAATTCCTCAACGTCAGAAGCCAGAAACTCTACTCCTTTGCAGGCATATTTTCAAAAAATCCCCAATAGATGTTCAGCCATTGTTAAGGGAGGTTGTCACAGAAATTCATTGAAATGAAGAGTGCAATATTGACGTTTATGTAATAAGCAATTTATTTTTACAAAGTAAAAAGTTAAATAAGGAATATAAATAATTTAATTCATAAGTTAATAGAACATTGAAAAACATTGACTGTCCTTTACAATGCAGTGTCCTCATTCTTCAGTGTCTTCATTCTACGCACAGAAGAGTCTAGTTAAACAGTACCTGAAGTCACTGGTCTGAAGTCTGGTCCCAGAGGCACTGGATGGGAGATCTTCAGTTCTCCAAGCCCTCTGTAAGACTGTTTATGAAAGAAAAGTTCCTGAGGATTTCCACTTGGACTATTGTCCAGGCACAGATGCTGTATTCCTTGTTCTTCAAGTATCTCACAATATTCCAATAATAGCTCTTCAGCCGCAGAAAGGTCCTTACATTTCCCCAGGTTAAATTTTCCTCTTCTATTTTTCTTTCCAGAATTTTCTCCAGACGGTCCAGCTGCTGATTAAGTTCAGTGAAAAGCTTCTTGATGATGGCCACATCCCATCCAGTGTTCGAAGTATCCTTTCTGAAAATTTCAAAGATGTTCTTCAACATTTCATAGACGACAAAGCTAGTGTCTACCTTTTGAGACTGTTGCAGGTTCTTAATCTCTTCAGGTAACTTGAAGTCCATTCTGTCATCAAGGCAATGTTCAGGCCTTCCAGTCAATTGTGCCAGAAGCTTCTGGCATGCCAAACTGCTTTGCTGGAGTTGAAGCAAGCTGCAGCTCTTGAAAAGAGCCATGGAGGTGAAGCTCAGCAGGAGCACTATCTGGTAAAGAAACCCGTTGATCATTGTGAAGGCTGGAACAGTGTTGCCTACACCTGTGTGATGGAGCAAAGGCTCTGAAGGCATGCAGTGTGAATGTCCTTCCTCTATAATCTGGGCTATTTATATGTGATGGTCCTCTGTTTCATAGGAAATTCCCACTTTCAGTTTTTCTATGTCATATTTTTTTTGTATGTTAACAGTTTCCAATACTATTTATTTCAGCTCCTGACTCTTCAATAGAATATATATTAGGATAAAAGATAAACAGAAAGGAATTTTAATACTTTATTAAGTTTATTAATTGCTAAAGCAAATTGGGAAGGCATCAGCGAGAAACAAAGGAAAGCAAGAGACCTGAGAACTAAAGAACCTCAAAATAGTTATGAGGGACTCACTGAAAAGCCCCTCATAGTATAGAAGCTAACCCTGAAGAGAGCTTTGCCCGTTGTAATAGTAGATTTCATGTGAGAAGACTTTACAATTTCTGACAGCTTTTGGAATGGAGTATTATGAGAAAGCTTCAAATCAATCCACCACAGTTCCTCTTAGGGGTATGGCCCAACCCTGATGAGAAAATGCTACCCCATGGAATCAATCCAAGCTGAACAGGATAGAGACAGCAGAGAAGGAGAGAGAAGACCATATCACTGTGGGAGGGTGTGAGCAGATAAGAAAGTAAACTGCCATGTGGAGTACTTCATAAAAATGACAGCAGAGGGAGCCCTAAAAGTGAGAGGATAACCAGCCAAGTGACTACTGAAAGTTCCCGGGGAAATGAACTAGTATAAAATCAAGCAACAAGAAAGTAATGACATTGGGCCCAACACAAGATTATTTAAAAATAACAGATTAGGTAGAATAATAGCTATTCAACTAATACGAGATTCCCAGGAACGCACACAACATAAATTAAAATTAGAAAACATAAGAAATGAAGTTACTATACATAGGAAATAATCAGAAATCAAGCAACACTTTTTTTCCCCCTGAATCAGATGCATCAGAAGAAATGAGTACTTTGCGGGAAAATCTGGCATTGGAGAAAAAACATTCATCTGGGACAAATATTAGCAGCTAAACTCCAGTGGTACATAAAAATGATTAAATATTGACTAAGCAGAGGTACTTGGGAAAGTAAGGATGTTTCAGTATTATGAGGTCCATAGAACATATTCAACAGACTGCTAAATGAGCAAAATGTATTCAAGCTTTATAAATCTATTCAAACATCCTTTTTCTCAAATACAGCAGGAAAAATGCCTTCCATTCTAGGTGACATTTGCACTGTGATACTGTGATACTTTGTACCCATCAGTAGGTAGGGTCCATGTCTCCACTTGAATTGGATAATTTTTGTGCTGTATCTTTAAGAAGTAATACAAAAGAGTTTCAATTCAACATGTCAACTCAACATGTCAATGCTGCATGATTTTGAGACTAGGTCAGAAATGCTGATTTAATTTGTACTTTGTTAGCTAAAATCCTTGGTCCTGAAGTTTCAGCCACCATTGAGTGGTCTGATTGCCCTGAATCTGCTTTGATGTAAGAAAGTCTAGTTAGATACTGGTGGTTCATGCTTATAATCCTAGCTGAGAGGCTGAGATTCAGAGGATCAAAATTTGAAGGCAGCCTGGCCAGAGAGATCTGCTAGGCTGGAGCTCCAAAATAGCCAGCACAAAGCAGGACTGTAGACATGGTTCAACTGATAAGATACCAGCAAAGCAAGGAAGCTGAGCAAGAATGAGGCCTTGAACTCATATCCTAGTACTGCAAAAGAAAAAGAAAAAACAATAAGAAGAAAGGTCGAAATAGCTAACCAAAACTAGAAAGTGGCAATATTTCAAATTTTAATGTTTTAAACAACAGAATTTAACTCGCAATACTATGGTTAGGAATTTATCTGTGGCTGTCCCTGCAAAAGCAGAGAGAGAGAGAGAGAGAGAGACAGACAGACAGACAGAGACAGAGAGAGAGAGATACAGAGAGAGACAGAGAGATAGAGAGAGACAGAGAGACAGAGACAGAGAGACAGAGAGAGACAGAGAGAGAGACAGACAGAATGATACATACACAATATCTATAAATGTTCATACTAGTGCTTTCAGAGACAAAAATAAAGTCAAATATCCATTAGTAGAAATTGGTTAAATAAAACTGGGTTCAGCGGCTAACACCTATAATTCCAGGTGTTCAGAAGTCAGAAACTGGAAGGGATGTGGTTCAAGGCCACATCAGACAAAAGTTACAAAAAGCTCATGCTAACAAACTAGGAGTGGGTTTCACATCTGTAATCTCAGCTATGTAGGTAGGAGGCCATAAATAGAAGACTAGGGTTTGAGGCCGGCTGTAGACAATAACATAAGACCCTATTTAAAATAAAACAAAACAAAACAAGAAATAAAAGGAACAAAAAAGAAACTGGTTAAGCAACATTATGGTGCAAACAAAAATGGAATAATATGGAACTGCTAAACTGTTAAAAAGCCTAAGTGAAAGGGAGGGTAACAAGTTCAACAAGAAATGTACTCACTGGGGTTGGGAAGGTAGCTCAGTGGTAGAGCGCTTGCCTTGCATGCCTGAGGCCCTGAGTTCGATTCCTCAGCACCATATAAGCAAAAAGAAAAAAGCTGGAAGTGGCGCTGTGGCTCAAGTGGGAGAGGGCTAGCCTTGAGCTGAAAAACTGAGGGACAGCGCCCAGGCCCAGAGTTCAGGCCCCACGACTGGACCCCCCCCCAAAAAAAAGAAAAGAAATGTGCTCACTAGCTTACCTACATAGCTGTAACCCCTCTGTACCTCATCTTGACAATAAATTTTTTCTTTAAAAAGTCTAAGTGAAGAAAAATAATGTCAATTATTTTCTCCAGACTGGGGGAAATTTGGAACATGATACATGTTCAAAACAATTTAGATAAAAGCACATCAAAACTCCATTGTGTAAAGAGCTCAGGAATGGTCATACCATCCTCACGCCAAGAAAATACTGAACTGCAAAGCAGATCTCTTTAGATCTTTCAGAGGAATGGAGCTCCAGGCAAGAGGCTGACCTGGCAAGAAGGAAAGATGCAAAGAGGTGCTCACAGTCACTAGGGACAGAAGTCTAGGAAGAATCCTAAAGTTCCCAGTATTGGCTGAACTTTAAACTATGATTGATGAATTGCTAGAAACTAGTGAAAACTAGCTGGAGAGCTTTAGTGCACGCTCTCGCTCTCTTTCATCTGTTTATTGGTCTGTCTGTCTACCTGTTTTGTACCAGTACTGTGACTGAACTCAAAGGGAGGTACTTTACTGCATGGGCTATGCCTCAGCTATAGTTAAATATTACTAACTTCCTTTAAGTAAGACTGAAGATGCAGGGTGCTGGTGGCTCACACTACCCTAGCTACTCAGAAGGCCGAGATCTGAGGATTGTGGTTCAAAGCCAGCCCTGGGGAAAATTCATGAGACTCTTAATCTCCAATTAACCAAAAAACTGGAAGTGATACTGTTGCTCAAGTAGTAGAGTGCTGGCCTTGAATGAAAAAGCTCAGTTCCCAGACCTCGAGTTCAAGCCCCACCACTGACCAAAAAAAAAAAAAAAAGAAAGACCAAAGACATTTTTTTTTTTTGGGTACAGTGGTGGAGCCTGAACTCTGGGCCTGGGTACTATCCCTCAGCTCTTCAGCTCAAGGCTAGTACTCTACCACTTGAGACACAGCACCATTTCCGGCTTTTTTCTTTTTGCTTATGTGGTGCTGAGGAATCGAACCCAGGGCCTCAGGCATGCAAGGCAAGCACTCTACCACTAAGCCACCTTCCCAGCCCCAGACCAAAGACATTTTAGGAAAGATTCTCCCCTCTCTCCCTCAACAAATGGCACTGGATCACCTATGTCTCTACATGAAAAAAAGAGGGCAATGAATATAGGCATGTGACATAAAACTCTCACACAAAAAAGAAACATGTTTATTTTTCACCATAGACCTAAAAACAACAGGGCAAATCTGTGAGCCCAAATGAGCCTTTTCTTTTTGTAAGTTAATATTCACAGATATTGATACAGTAACTGATATTCCCATCTGACTAACACAGATGGAAATGCTAATTACGTTGTTTTAATCATTAAATATTTTATATAAGTGTATGTGTGTAATGATTATCATGTTGTACCACAAATATGTGCAAATATTATGTCAATATTAAACCAACACCAGTTATGTTTTAAAAAAACAACAGAACAACAAATGGTTCATATAACACAACTATGGAAAATATGTAGAGAAAAAACCCCAAAATGCCAACATTTCAACAGTCATTTTCTTTGGCTTGTAAATTTTGCTAGTGATCCCCCCTCCCCCACCACCCCTGAACTTTATAATGTGTGATTATTCTAACTTCCCATTACTAAGCACATATTCATTTGCTATTGACTACAAAAAGCAGGAACCAGCCAGACTCAGTTTCTTAGGTTAATCTGCTTCACTTATGGATTTTATTCTTTCCAGTGTTTTGGCCTTTGCGTGACTCCCCTTAGCAGAACCCCCACTTTTCATGGGTTTAAAAAAATGAGTACAATGAATTCCTAAAGCAAGGTTTCTAAAGAGAAGACCTTCAACTTGTAAAGGTTGGGTTTTAGGTCAGTGATTAATTCTTTTGAATTTCCTTTTGTTCTTCTTCTTTCTTTAATTTTTAAAGTATTTTTTTGATTAGCTTGGAATCATCCATGGCCCAAAGATCAACACAAAGATTTCAGAGTCTGGCCATTCTGATTAGAAGGGGACTAGTCCATGGAGTCAGGTTAGTGGGGCCAGTCTCTCTGGAATCACTTGCACTGTCATATAGAGCTCATTTCCTCAGGAGCAATAGTGGACCTCACCCTACTGTCACATGTAATAGTCTCCAATCCACTTATTTAGCTGACAGTCACATTTGGCTGAAAGCTGTGGAAGCTCAATGGCCAAGGTTGGGCAGTTGAATTGGCTTGGCTATAGCACAGCAGGAAAAGATAAAACTTATTTCAAATGTGCATAGTCAAATTTAATATGTTCTAATAGGATAATGACATATAAATCACATAACTCCTCTATAAAGGATAAAATATAGTAAGG